GAGCCTGAGCTTGTTTGCGAATGTTTGACAATATTTATTCAGAAATTAAATTAATATTTTTATATTTAATAAGTATACATATATATCTTTATAAATATTATAGTTGATTCTATTTTATTTAAATTTATTAATATAAAATTATTATTATTATTATTATTAATTCAATTTAATTTTTTTGAAAAAATAAATAAATAAAAAATCTCTTAACGAGCCGAGCCAAACCAAATGCGAACAACAAAATTGCTAACGAGCCGAGCTCAAACAAAAATTTCAGTTCATATCTCTTAACGAACGAACACGAGCCGAGCTCCAGTCATTAACGAGTCGAACTCAAACATGACAAGCACGGCTCGATTCAGCTCGTTTACAGCTCGATTCGGCTAGTGGGTTCTACCATCACGATAACTTGGCCAAAGTCTTCATTACTCTTTTCCGGTGTTGCTCCCGAGCTTCCTCTTCCTCTTCTCCTTTCTTAGTGTTGCTCCCGAGCTTCCTCTTCCTCTTCTCCTTTCTTAGTGTTGCTCCCGAGCTTCCTCTTCCTCTTCTCCTTTCTTACTTTTTCCTCATCATTCTTCTCCTCAAATAATGTTGACAGATAAAATTTGGTAAAGGGAGGAATCGAGGGAGCTACAAGTGTTTTTCCTAAGGTGTTTGGGGGTTATAAACAATTGGCTCGTCTTCGCTTGCCCCCGGACTTGTTGTTTCTTTTGTGTTGGGAGATACCTGCAAAATTGGTAAATTTGTTATTACTGCCTTAATCCTGGTAGCTTCATCGGCAGTAGTAGTATTAGCTCCAACGGGAGCAGCAGAACACTCATCCTCAATATACTCTACTATTATAAGGTTGATTCAGCTTAGGGTGCCCCTTTCTAACAATGTTTTCCACTCCCCCTCAAGTTCAATAGCAGATGGCTCACTCACTCCCTAATGGCTGAAGGAAATGAGTTCATTACTAGATTGGGAAGACAAAAATATGTTGGACTATTAGGGCATCCACAGAGAACCCCACGTCAGCTTGTATATAAAAAGAAAAAAGAAAAAAATGACTTGGAAATAGAGGAGAGAGCCACAGCTCTGCCCAGCACTTCTGACACAAAGTTGTTGTGGCTTATTCTGCCACATGTCTCAATTTAATTCGGGCATGTGACAAAAAAAAAAGTATATTATTTATTATTTTTTATGTATTTTAATTAAATTATATGTATTAATATTTTTATATTATATAAAATTTTATTTTTTTTATAATTTATAAATTAAATTATTACGTAAATAAATATGTATATCAGATAAAATAATTATTATTTAAATTATTTTAAAAATAGATAATTTAATAATATAGAGGAAAGAGAAATTATAATCGGTGTAAATGAGTTTCTTTGATGGAGGGATAAAATGAAATGAGTTTCTTCGATGATGTGGCGGAAAAAAAGAATATGACGTGGAAGAGAAGAGAAAGAGGGAAGAAACCCATGTTGGGTTTCATTGATGCGGATGACCTTAGGATGCTTGGACTGTTTAGGCTGACTAGTTGGCTGACTCGGCTGGCTAAGTCCTTTTTCGCTGGGGTGCAAACTCATTGATGTATATGCCTTTTTCCGCTCGCAATAGCAGAATAAGTTAAAAGGATAAACTATTTTTTTAATCCCGTAACTGGATCCTCTTATCATTTTAATCCCGTAAGTGGAGCATGTCGCAAACTAGTCCTATAAGTGAAAAATTTTCGCTGTTTTAGTCCTTCGACGCCGGAGACGTCCGCGTGGCTCGCCGGAGGCCACGTGTTCGCCAGGTCAGCGACACTTGGCGGACACGTGGATTTCTTTTCTTTTTCTTTTTTAATTCTTTTAAAAAATTATTTTTAATTTTATGTCTTTTTTTTATTTTTTTATTTGGTCCAATTGAAAAAGAATTAAAAAAATCCACGTCTCCGCCAGGTGTCGCTGACCTAGCGGGACACCTGGCGGACATGTGGCTTCCGGTGAGCCACGCGGGGCCTCTCTGGCGCCAGAGGACTAAAATAACAAAAAATTTTCACTTATGAATGAGATTAGTTTGCTGTTCCACTTACGGGACAAAAATTATAAGGGATTCACTAAAAAAAACAGTTTACCTTAAGTTAAAATTGGCCTCTTTCTTCTGAACCTTTCCCTTCCTCTTGTCTTTCGTAACAACATTTGAAGATCATTTCTGTCAAAATTGTTTAGTTATGAGACTAATCGAATATAAAGTTAATTATAGTTTTAAAATGATTCTTAAATAATTTCTACATGTTATTCATACAATCTTCGAATTGTCACTATCAGGGCCGTCCCTGGGCCTGGGCGAAAGGGGCGATTGCCCAGGGCCCAATCTAAATTGGGGTCTATTATTTATTTATATTATATATAAGGTATTTATATATAATTATTATTTGACACTAAAGATTTTGTACAATAGCATAGCTTGGTGGTTAAGTTCTATTTATATTATTTTTGAGGTTTTGGGTTCAAACCCAAGTACCTTCAAAATTTAAAAATATTTTTCTATACATTAAAAAAATTAGACAAAATTAATATTAATAGTATTAGTGATATTTTGCATATAAAAATATTATGAAATTTATTTTATTTAATTATTTATATTTTATTATAGATAAAAAAATATATTATTTATACATATTTATAGGCCCCTAATTTTTGTTTTAAGATTGTTAATATTAATACTATTATTGATATTTTATCTAAAAATTCTAAAAAATTATTTTATTTAATAATTTATATTCTATTATAGGTAAAAAAAATCGGCATAGATTATTTATATATATTTAGGGGTTTTTTATTGTTGTTTTAATTATTTTTTTTTGCACTAAAAAGATAATAAATTTTAGATAAAATTATTATTATTATTATTATTATTATTATTATGCAAAATTATCAATAACGTCTTTATGATTTCGAAACTCAGTGTAAACCCTCTATATACTTTAAAAATGACATGAACTCCCTTATACTTTAAAAAAAACGTTTCATTAAACTCATTTTTATATTGTTTTTGTGTTGAGAATATGAATTTTCATCTATATTTTTTGTACGACGGAGTTTAATATAACGTTTGTTAAATATAAGGGAGTCTTAAGCAATTTTTAAAATTTATGCTAGAATTTTTATTTTTTTTTAATTTATATTTCATTATAGGTAAAAAATATTATATATATATATATATTTAAGGGCCTCTAATTTTTATTTCGCCCCGGGCCTTTCGAAAGTTAGGAACGGCCCTGGTCACCATACTGCTATATCAACAGCTCTGGTGTCGGAGGATCATTTCTTCAAAATATTTTTAGTTGTGGGACCAATCCAATTCAGAGTTTAATTATATCTTAAAATGATAAATGGATTACATGAGACTAGAAAAACAGTTTTCTATTTAATCATTTATAGAATAAAGATTTTTTCTTAGATAGGGAGTAATAGACAGGATGGGATGATCACGAAATATTTTTTGCTTTCCATTCAAAACATTTATTTTTACACATTAAATACTATATTATTTATACACTCTATACTTTTTCTTTTGGACAAAGAGTGTAAAATATAAATAAGTATCTAATATACGATGTTTTGAATTAAAAAAAACTAAGTTTTTAATATATAAATTAAAAAAACCAAATATTTGATTTGATTGTTTTTTTAAAATAAGTTTTGAAATAGTTTCGAACCCACTCCAAATTCAATCAAAATACACCTATTTATGTCCTGTAAGAGATTAATCTGGTGATATAGGTTGAATTCGTAATCGTGAGATCATTGGTTTAAATTTCCGACACCTCAATATCTTATATGCCATATATAATTTGCCTAGTGTGACTTGTCTTGTCGAATTTAGTTTGTGTGCTATTATATTCAATAAGATATTTACCCGGGCGCACTCAAAATATAATAATATATGATTATATTGGAGCAGGTTCTTATGGTAAATGCTTTCAATTTATACACATTGCCCTCTTTGCATAACTATAACTATGCCTTAAAAAAAAAATTATATCACCACCTTAATTATTGTCTTAAGCCTTTTTAACAATCATTATCTAGATCATTGGAATGCAAATCTAAATTTTATACTCCCTCCGTCCCATAACAAAATATCAATTTTTCCATTTTAGTCTGTACTATAACAAAAGTATCCATTTTTTTTAGTAACTGTACTGTCTATCTAACATTACAAATACCCTTACAACTTACAATATATTACAGAAATGTCATTACTTTTATATCACACATGTTAATAAGGTTATTTTAGTCATTTCTACTTTATTCCTACTATATTCCAATATAATACTAATATTTCTAAAATTACGTGATAAAAGCAAATAGATACTTACTTTCGGGACCGAGAAAGTATTGAAAATTACAAGAAAATTACAAGAACTACAATTTTTATAAGTTTACATATCATTTCGTTAGTACGAGTTCTTTCAAAGAAATATAAAAATAAATTTGTATAAATTCATTCTAAAATAAAATAATTTCGTACTAATAAATTGGTCAAATCTTCCTATTCAATTATTTATAAATATTTTAAATTTAGAACCATTACAAAATCTTTTTTTTATAACGTGGGAATCCGCAATCACGTACAGAGTAAATTTTCGGCTGAATCTAATATTCTATCAACTAAGCCTGATAAAACAAATCATAATAGACGAACCATATGTAACAGATAAATTTGAAGACGTCGAAGTTTGAACGTCGGTACGTGATGGTTACAAATTCAGAACAAACATATTATAGGATACAAGCTTTTTACATAACCATCAAGAAAAAAATGCACTATTCCTACTTAAAAAGAATTAAACCAAACTATTATGTGAGTATAAATAAGAAAACAAATAAAACAAGATTACTCATTCTCTCTCATTTATTAAAAAGAAAAGGAAGTAAGAAAACAAAAATAAAAATAAAAAATAAAAAATAGTACTGGGGTCTGGGTAGTGTTAGGACGCACGAAGCGCGTGGGATCAGTGAGTCTCGATATTCCAAAAAAATTTTCATTACATTGCGTATAATATCTTCATTTCTCGAATCTTCCTTCCTTCGATCAATCTCCATCTCCATCTCCATCACCGGAGAACACCATCCATGGCCAGCCTATGGCGAGCCGCGATGGACTCGATCCAAGCCAACACCGATGACTACGACGGCGTCGAGTTCTGGGGCCCACCTGAGCGCGCCGGCTGGCTCACCAAGCAAGGTGAGTACATCAAGACTTGGCGTCGCCGCTGGTTTGTCCTCAAGCAGGGAAAGCTATTCTGGTTCAAGGAATCCAATGTCACCCGGGCCTCCAGGCCGCGCGGCGTCATCCCCGTGGCCAATTGCCTAACCGTCAAGGGCGCCGAGGATGTGCTTAATCGCCAATTCGCCTTCGAATTATCCACCCGTAATGATACGATGTACTTCATTGCTGATTCGGAGAAGGAGAAGGAGGATTGGATCAATTCAGTTGGGCGATCGATTGTTCAGCACTCGAGGTCGGTTACTGATAGCGAGATCCTCGATTACGACAGCCGGAAATGATTCGGTGAAGGATCAAGTAACTAGCAGGTTCTATTGCGCTTTTATGAGATCTTATTTGTGAGATTTTCAAATTTTCTTTGTTCTTCCGTTTTATTTTAGCTGTTTCTGTATGTATGGCTGCTTGATTTGTGTTTCGTTCGATCTCATTTGGATGGTGTTAGGGCTCGGGAGGGGGTTTTCAGGTGTACGGATTTCTGGAGTGTAGTAGCTGTTAATATTGAAAATGTAATGTTAATGAAGTTCCTATTACCTATACATTACATTTGAAATCTCTGACTGATGTATAAATGAAGAGGAAGAGACGAATGAAGTGAATTGTAATGTGGTAATTTCAAATTCTGTGCCCAATCTAAGCTTCTACGTTTTGTTCTACTGTGTCTTTCATTTTCATGTGTTTGCAGATTTGATTTTTTGTTGAAGTTCACTGTGTTTGAACCCCTTTTGCCAATGTGTTGGTATGCCTCTTCGATGTTGGAACATGGTCTTGCTATTGAATCTTTATATAGGTTCTTGGGCAATCAGTATGGAAGAATTTGTAGCTGGTTGCTATCATGATACTGAAGGTCTAAAGGATTTTCTCGGCAAAGATAAGGTAATAGTATATTCGATAAGTCTTACGCAGCCCCAACTATGGTTGAGGACAAGAGTTGTAGCATGTTGCCAATATGTTATATGCAATTGGTATGGTAAATGTCTTCAAAAGAGGAAAAAGCTTATCCATTTTGATCTTCTGAAGTTTGCTGATGATCTGGCGGTTCACTTCTGTTAATCTATTGATGAATTTTGATGTATTCCAAAGCTCTCAATTGATCAGTCTTTTTTTGCATCTTATTGAAATGAAGGAAGGTGTGCAATTCATGCTGCTGTTTTTATTTCAATATTAATGTGTGGTAACTTTCCATATTTTTGTAGCATCTTAGGCGGATGAAAATATGAAAAGATATAAATCAATAGTCGTGAAAGATAAGCACATTTTAGAGGTGAAACTGAAAAATCTTGTATTAGGACATATGTCATTGCTGAGCCATGAGCATGATCTTGGAGATTTTACTCTCCTCCTAGAACTTATATTTGCAGTTTGGCTGGTGTTCTCTTCCACCTTACCAAGGATAGTTTTGTTCTAGCGATATAATTTGGACTGTGTTGATTTCTTTCTTTAAGAAAGGTTATTAGAAAAGAACATACATAGTGCATGCGTCGTCGCCGTGGTGGTGCACTGGAACTTGTAGAGAAATAGGGGAAGATATTCTTATTTTTTTCCAAGGGAAAAAGAAAGGAAAGTATACATATATGGGTAGGTGTAGAAAAACTATCCTAACAAACTAAATCTCATATTTTCTTATAAAAAGATCGTAAATAAATCATATCGATATCTAAATTATAGATATAGATATAGATAATATCTAACAGTACTATACTTTTGAACTTGACTTTGAACTTTTCCTGCTGTTTCCCTGTGGATTCATTATTCAAGTTTAATGAATTGCTCTTTGCATCTATGGAAATGATATATAAAGCTGATATTTTCTCCGGTTACAGGTCATTATTTTTCTATATATTATATATGTATGTATATATATATATATATATATATATATGAGAAACATAAATTCATACTTTCGATGCTCATATGGTGCTGATGTATTTAGCTTTATAAGTAAACAAAATTGAAACTCGAACTGATTAATAATGTGCGTAAACGGATGATTGTGGAACACGAGCATTATGATCTATGCCATTGTTTGATTGATTGAATGTGTGCATTACGTGATTATATTATGATTTGAGTTGAGCATGCTCGATTTACTGCTGCTCATTAACTGTTGTTTGGTTCAATTAGCATTGTAAAGAGAAATTTGTTGATGAAGTGTCGAGATTTTTATTAGATTTATTTCTTTCCATCAAAGGTGGGGTTCCTATAGAGGAATCCAATTATATGGATGCAATAATTTTCGATAACTTAGACTCTCCCTTTCCTTGTTGATGAGCGCGGATGATTTGATCTGATCTGATCGTAGTATTTAGCGATGAGGTGGCAACCTGTAATTGAAATTTGGCGCCATTTGCCGGTACGACCGTCTATGACTGAGAACTTTAATACTCTTTTGGAACCATCGTCGTCTTCAAATGCACGAGGCTGTTCTTGTACCTCTGTGTCTTTTTTCTAGAAGCTGAGGTAATGCTATACTCCTTCCGTCCATTAAAATTAGGAATTTTGGGGTATATTTGAAAATTTAGACACTCGTAAATAAGTGTTGAATGGAGGATAATAATTAATTGTTAATTTTTTGATTTTTTGTCAAAATTAGTAATGAGATAAATTTAAAGGACGGATTAAAAAGAAAAATAGGAATAAATTTGGTGGACGGAGTCTATATATGTAAGTATGGTGGTGATTTTAGAACCGCATAGCATATTTCAACTATGTTGTGCGTGTTGCAGGTCTTCGTCTTCTTCTTCTTTTTATTTTTTTATTTTCTTATTTTCTTATTATTATTATTATTATTATTATTATTATTATTATTTTATTTATTCAGACACCCACACACTACCCCGACATCAAGTATGCAACAAAGTTCAATAATGTGAGCTACACTCCCTCTACTTTTGAATGAATTTTTTTTAGATAAAAGATTTCGATGTTACGGAGTTTCTTGGAAAATTTTGAAAATAAATAGAAAATTAAATATTTAATATAGTATTTTGTAAAATTAATTAAATATTATTTATGTCCGGTTTTAAAAGTTTTACTTACTTTTTACATATTGATATTTAAATATTAATTATTATATTAAAATTGCAGTACAAATTAAGAAAAAATAATAAAATATTATAATTAATATATTATAATACTAATAGAAAATATTTGTATAGAAAATTATTTTTAATATTTTTTTAAATGATTGTTAATTAGTAATTATAAAAAATTTTATTTATTTATTTATTTATTTGAATCTAAACAAAGAAAGTTGAGTCCCAACTTATAAGGCCAATGCTCCACTAATCTCCACTGCAATATGAGGATGGATAATGGACATTATCCCTAGGGATGTCAAATGGGGCGGACCGCCCCGGACTCATTTTTAATGGGGTGGGTTATGGTCTAAATAATATGTTTCGGGACAGATTATGAATTTAAAATTTTAAACTTGGCCGGGTTCGGGGCGGATTACGGATTTTACTAAAAACTTGCCTCAATCCGGACTCGAACTCGGATATTTTTTAAAATTATTATAACTAATTATATGTACATTTATATAATAAAAATATATTATTTATTTACTTAAATAATATTAAATATAAAATTCAATTAGTCGACTGCTCCAAATAATTTTTAAAATTATTATACCTAATACATGTATATTTATATAATAAAAATATATTATTTATTTATTTATCTTATTTTTATGGATCAATATTTGATTGTTTTTAGATTTTTTTTTGTACTTTTAATGTTATTTGTTTTAGTATTCGATTGTTAAAAAAATATTTATTATTATATATTTTTAAAAAAAACGGGTTTGCCGGGTTGACCCGAAGGGTTCAGGGCGGGGCGGGTCCGGGGGCCGGGTGGAAGCGGGGAGGAGCGGGTCTCGGAGCCTAATATTTTCTAGCGAAGCGGGTCTCGGGGTTTGCAGAACCCGTCCCGAAATCGCCTCGCGGACATCCCTAATTATCCCTTCCTGTAAGTGTAGGTTGTGAATCCAATTTGTGTTTGCCATGCTAAAATATCAAGCCCTCTCCGTCAGTAGGTTACCCTCTTTGGCCAGGGATATGTAAATATAAATTAGTGGGTTATTAATAATAAATTATAATTTTATTTTTTATATAAGTAATATTGTTGATATTTTGAATATTTATAGTATTATATTTCAATAAAATATATATAATATAAATATTATTTTATAAAAAATAAAATTTTATATAATATAAATAAATAAAAATATTTATTTATTTATTTATTTATAATTAATTTAAAACTAATTTTATAAAAAAAATGAAGAGTTTTAAATATAGATAAAAAATATTTGTATTGAGGCGAGAAATAAAAGTAAAGGGGTTTTGACCGTGTCATACTTGTAAGACGTTAAAAATTTAATTAAATTGATTTAAATTTTAATTGATTTTTCGTTTTGTAAAAATTAAAACCGAAACTGAATCAAAATTTTTCAAAATCAAATAAATGGTTTAAAATATAATAAACTGAACTTTTATTTATAAATATATAATTTACATATACTATTTATTAATATATTATTTTATTATTTTTAAAAAATTCGGTTGTTTCTATTAATCAAAATTGAAAATTAAAAATTATAATCGAGCCGAAACCGAAATTTATAAATTTGATTTTGGATCGAACCTGTTGATGTATTTTTTCAATAAACAAAAAGTATAATTTAAAGATATGGAAAATATCTTTAAACTTGATTAATTAGTTAGGAATCTCTAAAGACTGTACGATATATAAAGAAATTAACTGGAAATTAAAATATTGGAAATTTAAAGTGGTAATCCCCAAATTTGACTTTGTTTTGTTGAAGTTGATTGAAGATGCCTTCTCCAAAAAATTTAAATCCTTAAATATTCCCTGAGAAACTGTTCTGGAAACCGTCGCCCAAACGATTACAACGTCTCATTTTCAACCGTATGCCAACCCTTCTCCTGCTGACACTTGTCCTCAGCAGACCAAAATTATCACTCTATTTCACTCTTTGAGCCGACCACAGACATTCCGCCCTTTTGGCCCGACTGTCAATCCTCCCGACTTGCAAACCATCTGACTTGTTGATCCAGTCGCAGACCTCCCGACCTGTCCCGACTTGAGGACTTTCCGACCTACGGACTTCCCGACCTGAGGACCTCCCGACCTAAGTACTTTCCGACCTAAGGACCTCCCGACCTGAAGACTTCCCGACCTAAGGACTTTTTGTCCTGATAACTTTTCGACCTGGGGACTTCCCGACCTGCGGACCTCCCGTCCTGAGGACTTCCCGACCTGCAATTTTCTTAGAAATATATCTATTTTTTCTGAGTTTCCAACAATGTCCTTCAACCAGTTCGATCAACTTATTGCCAGGCCTATTTTTTCTTTTACCTTGGGCTTTTTAACCTAATTCTAAATTTCATACGTAACAGAACCGAACCAATTAACCGAACAATCCAAACTAAACCATCCAAATAGGAAAATTTTTTATTCGATTTGAAGAAATCAATGCTCACCCTTATTCCTTTAGCTTAATACTATTAAACTAGGTCTGACAAATGCAAGTTACATTAGACGAACCATGTATGTCAGATGAATCTGGAGTCGTCGGGATTTGTAAGGGACAATTTTTGTTTTTGTTTTTGTTTCTTTAACAAGCGGTGAATGTTGTTTTTTAAGAAGAAATGTAGGGTGTTACACAATTAATTATTACTAAATTAATTATTTAAATACTTTAATAATTTTATAAAGAAGAAGAAGAAGAAATAGGCATTTTTCAAATGTTTGGTAATAGTGTGGAGAAGAAGAAAGAATAAGGAAGAAGAAGTCGTCGTAAAAAATAGGCATTACGGTACTTTAATAATTTTATAAAGAAATATATCAGTTTATGGACCAAAAATCTCGTGACGTTAAATCCTAACGGATGGGGATGTTTTGCAACATTTTGGAAACAAATAGAATTTTTGAAGTTTTAGAACCACTAGATATTTTCAACAAATTTGGAAACCACAAGGGTTTTTTTTTTTTTTTTTGCTATTTTGCCAAATTAGAAAAAATCTTAATCATTATCATTATATTATATTATATTAATTAATAATGGTGTCTATATATTTTACATTTTTTTTATAAAAACAAATTAAAATTCTAAAAATAAATAATTAATCGATCATTTATTTTATTAAAAACATTATATAATATATTTTGTATCTTTTATTTGTATTTAACTCACTTGTCTTTATTTAAAATTAAATATTAATTTTGAACATAAAGGGTGTTTCATACAAACTTTACAGAAGGAGTTTCACGTAAGTGTTTAGGTTTTAGCGTTTAAATTTTTACTGTAACAAAATTAAATGGTCGACTATATTTTTAATCCAAATTGGAAAAACAGCCAACCATATTTTAGTGTCTTTTGGCGTTTTCCATTGACTTGTTTGGTAGCGTGACTTGGTCTGGTCATGGTTGGCTGCTACTTCTAATGTTATTTTAGATTTGTTTTCCACGGCGCAATAATCTCGATAGCTACATCACAATAATTATTTCTTAGTATATGTAGAGACATACAGTTATATATAAAAAAAAAAAGAAAAATTGCAAAAAAATATCTCATACTTATACTTCAATATTATTTTTGTTCTGTATTTTTATTTTTAAAAAAATAAAAATTGCAAAATATATTTCACATATTTGCAAAAGTCGTTATTTCTATCGTTTGATCGCACGTGATCGCCCGTAACGGCGTATGGTGTGAATATCACGCGCGGGCAAATGACATAAATAACAACTTTTGTAAACATGTGGAATATATTTGCCAGCGACATAAATATAAGACAAAAGTGATAATAGAATATAAGAGTAAGATATTTTTTATAATTTTCTCGTAAAAGAAAGGCTAGATTAAATGCATTCACATATATATATATATATATATACTAAAATATAATACATCGATCACTCATTAATCTTAAACCTTAATAGATATCTAAACCATGTCTTCTTCTACAGCAGGAAACAGGATGAACAACAATGTCCTCATCCTTCTCTTCATCTTCAACATTGTTTCCGGCGAGGATCGCACTCCATCCTGCCGTCCTTCCTCCTGCGGAAACATCGCGCGCATAAGTTTCCCATTCAGACTCAACACCGATCCCATTTCTTGCGGATACAACGCCACCAATTTCCAGCTTGATTGTCGCAACAACCAGACTTTTCTCAAAATTCCGATGCTAAATTCTACCATGGACTTCCTCGTGCATAGTATCAATTACAAAGAACATTTGATAAGGCTAGCCCATTCCGGCACCAATAGCCGAGACCTATCCTCTTGCCCACCCCCCAATGATCCTTGGCAAGACATCACTGATTTTTATGGATACAATTCATTTGATGATTTGGGGAGAGAAGTGAACTCGAAAGTAGCTTTCATTCATTGTTTGTTACCTGTGAATTCGGAAAGATATGTGAGAGCTCCTTTCTGTGGCAATGGCCATGGCAACAGATTTGGTAATTCTTCGAAATTCTATAGTTATGTGATGGTTGGATTTCTACAAATTTCGGATTTAGAGGACTCTTGCACGGTGGATACATATCGATTGATTTCTGCCCGCTCGCCAAAAATCAATAAATCTTCTCTTATCGATATTTATGAGGGATTTGCTTATGGATTTGAGCTTCGATGGTTCATTTATGGAAAATGTTGGAGGTACAGTCATTTCACATTGGCGCCTAATGATTTCGTGACGGATCTATGTTGCTCGGGCGACCCCTATGATTGTAAGTTTTTAGTTTTGTTCGTCTTCTTTTTACTGCCTAAGTTTGTTTATAATGTTTTTATTAATTATAAAAAAAATATTGTAACGTGCACATAAAATATACAAATATCATATATTTTTATTACACAACATATATTGTGTGTAATAAAAATACATGCTCTAAGTTCATAATGATACGGTATAAGAATATGTTATGAAAATAAATTACTATATCATGTGTTGTTAATTTATATTATATTAATATAGATGGTGTCTTATTAGTATGTGCTGTCACAGCAATCGCATTTTTTCATCCCTAATTGTATCGGGGCTGAAGGTTAAAAATATAAAAAAATAATAATAAACAAAGGCTAAAATATGTTGAAAACAAAACACATTAAGAGAGCATGATGCCAGAACATAGAAAAAAGTTCGGCACAAACAATAAACTTTTATTTACTATTCATAACTTCAATAATATCCTCACATCAATAATATTTTTGAAGCTCAAGCAATTTCTGTGCCCTTTTTTTTTTTGTTTTTCTTTTTTTAAATACCTTTACTCTCATTGTAGCAATTACTTCTAAACATATTATTTATTTATGCCCAAAATTTGTTTCTAACTAGCGCCGGACAGATAAAATGCATAACATTATGAACTTAAAAGTTATTCTTTCTAACATAATGTTCAAATCACAAAAGACTAAATTTCAAAAGAAAGATCTAAGGCTAAAAGACAGTTTAGTATAGAAAAAACTAGACTAAAAAGCTCAAAGGTGTTAACTAGCGGAAACATACTGAGTTAGGTGATAAAAAAGACTCAATAGGGTTACTTAATGCTCTTATCATTTTTGAAATATAAGAATTGATAATTATAGGTTCAACATGCATAATTATTCAAGTTCTAGGTCATCTAATCGAGCAAAACAAATCACATATGAAAGAATTTCTAAAAGCACTACGTACTAAATTTTTAATGTAAACTTTTGGAACATAGACTTAAATTGTCACAGGGTTCAAATGTTAACCTAACTCAAAATATTTTAAATTCAATGTCATTTATCATGTCAAACTAATATAACACACATTTGACTCACTTTAAATTAATATAAAAAACATTCAACAGGGTAGCAAATTAGGCATAAAAAAGCACAAATCGAAAAAATTTCCTAAAAATTGTATTACTCTCCCCACACCTAAAGCATACATTGTTTTCAATGTAAAGAAAAAATAAAGAAAAGAGGAACTTCTCTAGAATCCATAGGGGTTGCGAAAGTGTGTTCTTTTCTTGCCTTGCCAACGCCTCTTCATTTAGTCGTGCACCACTTGAGATTCCCCATGAATTGTTCTGTAAAAACAAACTAGCCAACGCAAAAAGCTATCCAATAGTGGTAGGTGAGCTAACTAATCATCATCTCTTCTTTCGAAATCGACAATCGAAATGTAATGCATCAAAAGTCACATTAAAATCTTCAAAGTACTCAAGTGACAACATTAATTGTATGCCGGAAACAAGATACAATATGATCTATCCAAATCACATCCTTAATGTCAACAATCAGAAATAAATTCTTGAATATATATAGAACACCAAAAAAAAAATCGACTATTCTAACAATGCAATTCTAAAGTCGAATCGGGAGTGAACAAATTGAGCCGAACACTTCACCAACATTATACCGATTCAAAAAATTAAATGCTAACTTGTAATTCCAAACATTAATAGCAAAGGCTCAAGATAAAATATATCACATAATTATTCAACAACTACCACAGAAAATACTTATGGTCCACCACGTTCAATCTTAATTTTCAATTTTAAGAGTAATCACACTAACCCAAGACAATTTATCCCAATCGATCAAATTGAAAGTATTAGAAATAAGGGACGAAGAGATACTACCGAATACCAGAGATGGTGCAGGATGACGGTGGAAGGTGGTCTGGTGTACGGCGGTGCACTGCTGGATGACGATCGCACGCGATGGTGCGGTGGTCTGGACGGAGGTCTGACTCGGCGGGAGGGTGGAATCGCGTCGAACGTCGGGCAGCGCTGTGACTACACCTAAGACATATGTGTTGTTTTGTTTTTTATCAGGAAAGCTGGCGTGACCACACCTCAGGATTAGGTTCTACTCTTCTTTCTTTCTTTTTTTTTTTTTTTTTTTTTTTTTTTTTTTTTTTTCGGAAATCCTGTGTGATCTCACCTAAGTATCCAGTGCTCACTTCAAGGAGTTCCCAACAAAAAGAAAGAATTAAAATAAAAAAATTGGGTTGCCTCCCAAAATCTTTCTTTAACATCTTTGGCTAGACGTAGTTTTCATCTTAGTCGTTTGGTAGCACGAACCGTCTTGTCCATCTCAACTTACGTCTTTTATTAGTTGTTTGCAAGATTCATATTATATTTTAAATGAACAAGCTCCAACTGACTTGAAGGGGGCTTCAATTTTATGTCCAAAATAGATCTATCATGCAATCTTAAAACTTCCTGCATACTTGTGTCAATAACATTCATACTACGCAAGATGTTAGATTTCCAAGGTATTTCATACAATCTGAAATATTTAATTGCACTTTCTCACCATCAAATTCCATAAAAAGTATACCTTGTTTCACATCAATTTTAGTTTGTGCGGTGTGCATAAATGGTCTACCAAATAATATCGGTGAAGGATTCTGAGAGTTATCATCATGCATGTCAAGCATATAAAAAAATCAACCGAAAGATTAATTTGTTAACTTGCATTAGGATATCTTCAATAATTCCTTTAGGGTAAGCATTTGTCCTATCAACTAATTGTATAATAGTTCTAGTTTCTTTTAAAGGCCAAACATTTAGAGATATATGAATAGACTTAGGCATCAGATTAATTACCGCTCATAGATCTAATATTTCTCATTTAATCTCCAATTTACCTATCTTACAACGAACTAAAAACATACCTGAATCATCGCGTTTTGGAGGAAGCTTACGTTGTAAAATGGTAGATACGCTTTCTCCAACTATTATGCAATCATCTTTTTGTAATATCTTCTTGTTCGTGCAAAAAAAGGTATGCTCAACTCCACCTTTATAAACATCTCCATCATTTTCTTATTTTTGTCATCTTCTTTTGTTTCTCCAACATAAAGGACATACTGCAACGTTAGTTTTAGAATGAGTAGGTCATTCGAGTGTTACCTTATGCGACATTTCATTGGCGGTTTTATCTCTATTTCTTTCTCAATGTCATTATCATTTTTGTCCTATGAAACTCCAATTTGTGATCCTTCCAAGTCTTCGCCACTTTGTATAACAACCAAACTCATATTCTTCGAATTGGCATCGAGTTGTAAGGACAATTTGCCTTTTTCCATTGACTTCATCTCTTGTATCTTATTCACTTGAGATATTTGCTCCTACAAGCTCCTTATGATATTCTGAGTTTCCTGTTGAAATTGAAACATGTTAGATACCATAGTTTTTATCATATCCTCTAAAGAATTATTCGGAACCGCTTGAGAGGGTTGTGGATGATGGTTAAGTGCTTGAAATCCTCGTGAATGATTTTCAAAATTATTTCATTCGGAAATGTAAAGGTAGAGTACCTGGTCCATACTATTTTAGAAAGAGGTGTTGCCATGGATCCAACAAAGGTGAGTGCAGTGGTGGACTGGCCCCAACCCCGCTCGATCCGTAAGGTACGGGGAGTTTTGGGGCTTATTGGATATTACCGACGATTTGTACGAGGATATGGCCTTCTGGCTCGACCATTAAGTACATTATTAAAGAAAACAACTTCTTCATTATTTGCATGGACACCAGAGCTGGAGACTGCTTTCACTAACATTAAACGGGCCTTGCCCGAAGCTCCCGTACTAGCCATGCCTCAATTTGATTGCCATTTTTTGATCGAATGCGATGCTTTTGGCATGGGACTTGGTGTTGTTTTGTGAAGGATTGACGCCCTCTTGCCTATTTTAGAAAATCGCTAGTTAACCGAACTATAACGAGATCTGCATATGAGCGTGAATTGATGGGTCTTGTGTTAGCGGTGCAACATTGGCGTCCTTACCTGGTGAGGTGAAATTTGTGATTCGAACTGACCACCGCAGCCTCAAGCATCTACTTTCTCAAAGGATTGTGACTAATTCACAACAGATTTGGGTAGCGAAACTATTGGGTTATAACTTTGAAATTGAGTATAAAACATGAATTTTAAATGCCGCTGCAAATGCACTATCCCGTAGGAATGAAGATGAAACTCTGATAGTATTAACTGGGCTGGAATGGGTGGGACTGACAAATGCCTCGGAAGAACAGAGCCTTGATGACCACCTCCAAGGCATTATGCAAGCAGTATTACAACAACCAAACAGTTGTCCAGGGTATGAGGTGCAAGGTGGTCGATTATTCTTTAAAGGACGTTTGGTGCTACCTGTAGATTCGCACTCGATCCTGCGTCTTTTACATGAGTTTTATGATATACTTTTAGGTGGACATGCATGGGCATTACAGACATATAGATGTTTGGCTATGATTGTACATTGGAGAGGCATGTTTCGGCGTGTACTGGAGTTTGTGACCCAGTGTTTAGTATGCCAGAAAGCAAAATATCAAACTATGTCTCCGGCAGGTTTACTGCAACCCCTACCGATACCTGATCAAATTTGGTAGGATGTTTCCATGAATTTTATCACTCGTTTGCCAAAGTCACGAGGATACACATCAATCATGGTGGTTGTTGATAGACTATCGAAGTACGGACATTTCGTAGCCTTGAAAGCACCGGTGACTAACCATACGGTTGCAAAGGAATTTATCTGTGAGATTGTAAAACTGCATGGCATTCCACAATCCATTGTCAGTGATTGTGGTCCTTTATTTGTTAGTGTCTTCTGGAAGGAACTATTTACACTATTTGGAACCCAATTAAAGTTCAGCTCAACATACCACCATGAAACAAACGGCCAGACATAGGTATTGAACCGGGTGGTGGAGACATATTTGCATTATTTCACCTAAGAACAACTGAAACAGTGGGTGCGGTGGCTTCCGTGCGAAGAATTTTGATACAACATCGCATACCAAACAATAGCCCGGATGTCCCCATTTGAGGCGGTTTGTGGAAGAGACTTGCCCACCATTTGATGAGTTTTGCTGGGGGAGTGTCAGATGGCAATGGTGGCAGATGTGTTGAGCAGTTGAGATCTGATGATCAACCGTCTTAAGAAAAACCTGGAGCATGCCCAAAAGAAGATAACCAAGTATGCTAACAAGCAGCGCAGGACCGTAGAGTACGCAGTAGGCGATCATGTTTTCTGAAGGTACGGCCCCATCAACAGACATCCCTAGCACAACGACCACATCATAAGTTAGTTGTCCGCTTTTACGGCCTTTTTGCAGTAGAAGGTAGGGTGGGCCAGACAACATACAAGCTTACCTTACCGTCATCTAGCCGGATTCAATCAGTATTCCATGTATCTCAGTTGTGACGTGTGGTATGGGAGCATCTTGTGAAGTCAAAATTACCAGATAGCTTGGAGTTGCCAGTAAATCCAACCTTTGAACTTGACTCTAGTTTAGATTGGCAAAATATCCGAGTAGGCCAATGCGAGGAAGAGGAGCATCGCCCATTACTGGTATATCGACGACGGGGACGAGCTTAGACCTGCTATTCGCGGATTTAAACTTATTTACTTATCATTCTATTAAGACATTATAATTGAATTTGGGCTTGGAATTTGATTATTAGATGGGCCTATTTTATTTTCAATAAGTTAGCAGGAGTATTTAAGGAGGCATCTAGAGTTTGAAGATATTATTATTGATTTGAAAAAATAAGGAGCCTGGTGGCTTTTGGGCAAACGGTTGATTCCATTTAACTGTTTTCTATTACTTGTTTATGTGCTCTAACAGAATGCATTGCTAGCTTTACATATATTTGGGCCTTGATGCGTTAGATTTCGGAACAAAACTAACCTCGCAAAACCAAGAAGTTACCAAGCCCTTCCATATCCTAGATCCATGCCCTTGTATGGTTCAAGCAGGCAACGCGCATGTGGCTTGACCACATTCACATGCTTTAGTCACACTTCTATGAAATCTTGATTGATAATAATAATAATAATATAATAATAATAATAATAATAATTAAACACATCTAAATTTTGATGTTATTAGAACCGTGGGATAAAAAAAAAAACTTCTAACTAATTAAGTTAATCACATTTACTAGCTAACTAATTAGCCAGTTTTTTTACTTTAAGCACACTTTTAATTTCCTTAAGCCAAAATGATTATTGTATTCAACCTGATGCATTTCGACTCACTGATTAATTAGTTTTGGAAACTTCTAATATTAATTAACATCAATTTAATTCATCGATTAGTTATAATCAATTAAAATCGATTAACCAACCGCTAATAGTTTAGAAGTTGAATTTTATAATTACTTTTCTTCTCAGAGTTCTCACTATATATTAACTTGAATTTTTGCAGGTGAATACACTTTGGGAATTCCAAGTACTGATCTTCCCTAATCCACTTTTTTTTTTTTTTTTTGTCTTTCGATCTTTTCTATTCAAATTTCAATTTTTTTGGTTTCTTACAAGCTTTTCTTTTCAATTTTCATACATACAGATTGTTCTCTTATTTTTTATTTGTTTTTTATTATTACAGTGAAAATTGCGCTCAATATTGCGTGGGCGATTGGTAAGATTCTAAACTATCGTTGGGGTTTTAAGTTATTAATATCTATGTTTTGAGGGCAACTCCAATTGACATTATATTTGCATAATTTTTCCAAACATGGAGTCGACGCAGCTCCAATTGTCTCTATTTGGAGGATTCTAAAATTTATTTATTTAAAAAAAAAAAAATATTTTGGACTAGAGTTTTATTTTATATTGTATATTTGCTACTTTTAATTTATTTTTATAGTATTTTGTAAAATAAAATTGAAATGTAAATATTCATAGTATAATAAATATAATATCTCATTAATATTACATCATTAGATTATTACATAAGAAAGAATATATTAACCACAAATTTTTACAACATAAATAAAATACAAGTATAAATATTTATAAATAGTAAAATATAAAATTGATGAAATATTTGTAAATAGTTATATTTCAAAATTTATCAATATTATATAATTTAGATTTATGTGTGTTTGTTTGAAGGATTTTGGAGGATTTCCACTATTCATCCAATTTTTTCCCCCCAAAAACATCAAATCAAACATCTATTTTTCATTTTTTATATTATACTAAAAATCAATTTTACATTCAAAACATCACATCAAACCCTATTTATATCACATCATACAACTATTCAAATCCCAATCCAAAATCCAAACCCCCAAACAAACACACTTAATTATATAAATAAGTAAAGAATGGAATTTTTAAAATTGTTTAATTTAGATTATTAGAAAAAAAAAAAAAAAAAAGAGATTCGTTTTAAAAACACAAATACATTCTGCATTTTTCGAACAAATAAATCTGAATATTGCTCACTCTATTTCGTAATCTTTTGCATGTTGATGATGCAGGGGTGGTCTTATCTATAAGAGTTGCCATTGGATTTGTTATTGGATTTCCACTTCTGTTATGGTTGGTGGTCCATAAATGGCGACGACGCCATTTATGTATAGATAAAAATATCGAGAAGTTTCTCCAAGATCAACGCAATTTTGCACCCATAAAATATAGTTACTCAGATGTCAAAAAAATGACAAATAATTTTAACCAAAAATTGGGTGAAGGAAGCTATGGTATTGTGTATAAAGGAAAGCTTCAAAGTGGTCTTTTTGTGGCAGTAAAGATGGTAAATGAATTCATATCTGGGGATGAAGAATTCATAAATGAAGTTGGCACAATAGGTCGAATCCACCATGTCAATGTAGTGCAACTCGTCGGGTTTTGTGTGGAACGGTCGAAGTATGCTTTGGTATATGAGTTTCTTCCTAATGGTTCCCTTGATAGATATATTTTCAACGAACAAAGTTTAGGGGTCCTTGCCTTAACATTCAAAAATGTATTTGAAATTGCGCTTGGAGTGGCACGTGGAATCGACTATCTACACCATGGTTGTGATATGCAAATCCTACATTTCGACATCAAGCCTCACAACATACTACTCGATGAGAATTTCAATCCTAAGATATCTGATTTTGGTCTTGCAAGATTGTGCCCCGCCAATGAGAGCTTTATAAATCTAACGGATGCAAGAGGAACAATGGGATACATGGCACCCGAGATGTTTTATAGAAACATGGGAGGAATATCGTACAAAGCAGACATATATAGTTTTGGAATGATGTTAATAGAAATGGTAAGTAGAAGGAAAATTATGAATCTCAATGTCGAAGGCACAACTCAACTACATTTCCCGTTATGGATTTATGACCAACTAAGAGATGGAAAGGAAATAGAGATGACGAATACAACTGAAGAGGAGAGGAAAATGATGAAAAAGATTATGATAATAGCGTCATGGTGTATTCAAATGAAACCATCAGATCGTCTTCCTATGAACAAAGTAGTGAGGATGTTTGAAAGTGAATTTGAACCACGGATGCCTCCGAAACCATTTTTAGCTTCGCATGAGATAGGAGCGAACGATCATGGAGCTGAAACTTATATTGTAGATTATGTCAAGTTACATGTGTGAAAGTTGAGCATTATGCAAAAATCGACGGTATTGTAACTCAAACTTATATTGTAGATTACATTATGTTAATTAGTTAGACAAAAATCGAGCATTGTGGTAGTAATATATACTTAGTAGCTCTCTTTGATCGAATGCTAGCACCTTATATATACAAATATATAGCTCATGTTGATTGTGTTCAAATGATTATATTATGTGGAGAGGTTACTATGTTGATTGTGAAAAAATCAACATGTTGATTTCCCTAATCAACCATTCATAAATAGGGCATATTGAATAACAAACCAGCATGCAGGAAAACATTTTGGTTTCTTTCATTGCCTAGTCAATGCAGTTATATTTTCTATTATTAGTCCTATTATGTAGGAAGCAATTGTTTCATATTTTCCTTTGGCGTGTATTTAGGAACCAGTTGTAAGTCTCAACCTATATAAAAAAGCTTCAGTTTTTCAGCAATAAAAATCATCTTCCTTCTTCGATTCATCTTCGTATTAAAAACACTGTGTGTGTTCAACAGTCTGATATCAGAGCCAAAAGGCAGTAAGCAGCAACAATGAGTGATCCTCAAGTCATCGGTGGAGTCAAGAAACTCAACAACAACAACTATAACTCTTGGTCTACATGCATTATGTCTTATATGCAGGGACAAGATTTATGGGAAGTTGTCAATGGAAACGATGTGGTTTCACCAGAAGCTGAAGATACGAACGGAGTGCTTCGGAAGTGGAAGATCAAAGCTGAAAAAGCTATGTTCGTGTTGAAGACGACGGTCGAAGAGGATATCCTGGAGCACATACGGGAATCGAAAACTCCCAAGCAAGTATGGGATACATTTACCGAGTTGTTCTCCAAGAAAAAATGATACAAAACTTCAACTTTTAGAGAGTGAGTTGTTGTCGATAGCGCAACGAGAGATGACAATCTCACAATACTTTCACAAGGTGAAGTCTTTATGCCGAAAAATCTCTGAATTGGATCCACAGGCTCGTATAGGTGAAGCCAGGATGAAACGAATCATCATCCATGGTTTGAAGTCAGAATACAGGAGCTTTGTCGCTGCAATACAAGGGTGGCAAATTCAACCATCACTTGTTGAGTTTGAGAATTTACTTGCAGGACAGGAAGCCTTAGCAAAGCAGATGGGAGGAGTCTCACTGAAGAATGAAGATGAGGCACTCTATGCTGAGAAAGGCAAATGGAATTCCAAGAAACATGTTCGTGGGTCTAAGAAGAATGACGATAAGACAAGAAATCACCAAAGCGAAAGAAGTCATTTTCTAAGAGGAGGTTCAAGGGATCCCACAATGGACAAAAAGTGGCACCGAAAATGCTACAATTGCGGGAAAATGGGTCACATAGCAAAGGACTGCTGGTCGAAGAAGAAAACTGTGGAGAGTAATGCGGCTACCTCAAAATCTGAAGAAGAATGGGATGCAGAGGCCATGGTTGCTGTCGCAAAAGAGGAGTTGGCACTCACGGCTACTGATATTAAATGTCAAGTCGATTGTGATGATGACTGGATCGTTGATTCAGACTGTTCAAACCATATGACGGGTGACAAGAAGAAATTCAAGAAGCTGTCTAAATACAAAGGAAGCCGTGTGGTGGTGACTGCAAATAACTCAAAATTGCCGATAGCTCACATCGATGTTTGGGCATTTCAGCATATTGAAGTTCCAAAAGAGCATGTGATGAAGGGACAAAGAAAAGAGTTGGTCTATATGATGTCTGCAGAAGCTGCATATGTGGATAAGGCGAGACAAAATGAAACGGCAGACTTGTGGCACATGCGACTAGGTCATGTTAGTTATACAAAGCTGGACATAATGATGAAGAAGTCTATGTTAAAGGGGCTTCCACAGCTTGAAGTAAGAAAAAGACACTGTATGTGTTGGATGTCAGTACGGGAAAGCACACCAGCTGCCATTTGGAGACTCTACTTCCCGAGCAAATGAGCCACTAGAGCTGATTCATTCTGATGTTTTCGGTCCGATCGAGGAGGCCTCAACTAGTGGAATGAAGTACATGGTGACCTTCATTGATGATTTCTCAAGGTATGTGTGGATTTATTTTATGAAAAATAAATCTGAGACATTTTCAAAATTTAGAGAATTCAAAAGACAGCAGAAGGAGAAATTGGTAAGTGTGTTCGTTGCCTTCGTACCGACAATGGAGAAGAATACACTTCAGATGAATTTTCAGATTTCCTTCGGAGTTGCAAAGTGCGACGACAATTTCCATGTGCTAATACCCCACAACAAAATGGGCATCTGAAAGACAGAACAGACACCTAGCAGAGGTGTGTCGGAGTACGCTTCATGCGAAAAATGTCCCTGGACGTTTCTGGGCGGAAGCAATGAATACAATAGCCTTTGTCATCAACCGGCTTCCACAACAAAGGCTAAGTTTTCTCTCACCTTTTGAGAAAGTACGGAATTTGAAACCTACAGTTGGTCATTTTCGTGTCTTTGGATGTGTATGCTATGTATTTGTTCTAACCACCTACGCAACAAAATGGAAAAGAAAGTTGTAAGATGTATCTTTGTAGAATATGACAACAATAGGAAAGGATGGCGTTGCTGTGATCCTACAACTAATAAGTGCTATACGTCCCGCAATGTAGTGTTTGATGGAACTTCCTCGTGGTGGTCCTCTAGCAAAGAAGAACTTCCTGATTCAAATGCTCTGCAGAAGAAACGTGAAGTCCCCCAAATTCAGTTACGCTTAAATGACGCTGAAATCGATAATGGTGATGAAAAAGACTTGGTTCAAAATTCTTGGAAGACTGGTGTACATCAAAGACTAGTGGAAGAGAGCGATTCCACTGAAGAAGTAGTACCAACTTCATTAAGAAGGTCGACTAGAATAAAGTATCCAAATCCCAAGTATGCTAACGCTGCCATAGCGGAAGAAATCGATGCAAAAGAACCTGAGACATTTGAAGAAGCATCCAAAAAATCCTGAGTGGATTAAAGCTATGGAGGAAGAAATTGCCGCGCTGAAGCATAATCAAACTTGGGAGTTCATGCCAAAGCCAGAAGATGTGAAACCCATTTCTTGCAAATGGGTATACAAACTAAAGCGCCGCACAGATGGATCAATAGAGCGACATAAAGCTCGACTGGTGGCTCGCGGATTCTCTCAACAGTATGGGCTGGACTATGAAGAAACATTCAGCCCTGTTGCAAAGCTTACAACAGTGAGAGTTTTATTAGCACTTGCTGCAAGCAACAATTGGGATTTGTGGCAGATGGACGTAAAGAATGCATTTCTGCACGGGGAGTTAGATCGAGAAATCTACATGATACAACCGATGGGTTTCTATAGCCACAACCATCCTGAGTATGTTTGCAAGCTTCGAAAGGCACTTTACGGATTGAAACAGGCACCACGGGCATGGTATGGTAAGATAGCTGAATTTCTTACACATTGTGGTTATTTAGTGACATGTGCAGATCCTAGCTTGTTTGTCAAAGCTAATGAAGAGAAGCTAGCTGTTATGCTAGTATATGTGGATGACTTGATCATGACAGGAGACTGGGAAGAAGAAATACAACAAACCAAAAAAAAAATCTCTCTGTTCGTTTTCAAATGAATGAGCTTGGACAACTGAAGCACTTTCTTGGCTTAGAAGTAAATCATACTCATGAAGGAATATTTCTTCATCAACACAAGTATTCCACAGAATTATTGAAAAAATTCGGAATGCTTGAATGCAAGCCAATCTCAACACCAATGGAGCAAAATGCCAAATTGTGTGCACATGAAGTGAAAGATCTAGAAGATGCCATGATGTAACGGCAATTAGTGGGCAGTCTCATCTACTTAACGATAACAAGGCCAGACATCTCCTTTGCAGTTAGTGTGATGAGTCGCTATATGCAAAATCCAAAGAAGTCTCACCTAGAAGCAGTCCGACGAATCCTAAGATATGTCAAGAGCACACTTGACTTTGGAATTAAGTTCAGAAGGGACGAAGATTGCAAGCTACTTGGCTGTTGTGATGCTGATTATGCAGGAGACCACGATACCCGACGCTCAACTACTAGATACGCTGTCATGTTTGGGTCTGGAGTTGTATCTTGGTGTAGCAAAAGGCAACCAACTGTGTCATTATCGACGACAGAAGCGGAGTATCGAGCAGCAACTATGGCAGCTCAAGAAATCATTTGGCTTGTGCAATTGTTGAAAGAGCTGCATCAACAAGTCAAGTATGATATCTTATTATATTGCGATAACCTATCAGCAATACGTCTTGCAGAAAATCCAGTTTTCCATGCAAGAACTAAGCATGTGGAGGTGCACTACCACTTTATCAGAGAAAAAGTCTTGCAAGATGAGATTAAACTGGAACATATTGGGACAGAAAACCCAGTTGCAGACTTATTCACAAAAGGATTAAGCAGCAACAAATTGGAAAACTTCCGTCAACAACTTGGGTTAGTAAAACGGACTGAAACTGATATTGAGGGGGAGTATTGAATAACAAACCAGCATGCAGGAAAACATTTTGGTTTCTTTCATTGCCTAGTCAATACAGTTATATTTTCTATTATTAGTCCTATTATGTAGGAAGCAGTTGTTTCATATTTTCCTTTGGCGTGTATTTAGGAACCAGTTGTAAGTCTTAGCCTATATAAAAAGGCTTCAGTTTTTCAGCAATAAAAATCATCTTCCTTCTTCGATTCATCTTCGTATTAAAAACACTGTGTGTGTTCAACAGGGCATGCAATATATTGTCTCAATTAACACAACACATATTGTGTTAGTTAAAATAATGTGCTGACAGATCTCTATATAGAATGCGTTGTATAAATATATTTAGATGTGAACATCAATGATAATGTGTTGTATAAATATATTTTATATGCTAACATCATAATAAGGTGTGTTGTACGGACAACTAAGATATATTGTCAATGCATATCTTGTATTTGTATTTTGTTGACCATAAATAATGTATTGTATATCATTATATAATGTACTATTATTTTTATTATATAATGTACTTTAGCGTTGTGCTGCACAGTAATTGTACACAATTATATTATCGGCAATTTTATAATATTATTAAATACCGTTCATTATTTGGATTTGAACGAGGCTTTTTGTGGTACCTTCTTTTAGATCCTAATCAAAGAGGCTATATCAAAGGTCTGGTTTAGGTGAGGTATTGTAAAGCTCCCACACTCAAGTCCTATAGAGGGTAAGTCAATCGGCGGGTATAATCAATATTACCGGAGAATTAACTTTCAATTTCTATTTTTGACAAATTCGATTACTATTGTTCACTCGGAAATAAAGTTTTAGTTTCTTTCTAAATTCAAAATTTATTGAAACTAGCATTTATTTGATTATAATAATCATCATTTGCTCATGAATTAACTATTAAACATATTCGTACCGCTTCCATGATTGTAGATCCAGTGAGCATGTTGCTCGTATGAGAGTTGAACTATATTATGATATTTTGGTTTACTGGAACTATATTATGAATTAACTATAGGTGTTTTTGTTTGAGGGTTTGGATTTTTAAGTTGAGATTTGAATAGTAAAAATTGTGAATTTAAATAGTTGTATGATGTGATGAATAGGTGTGATGTGATGTTTGAATGTAAAATTAATTTTTAGTATAATATAAAAAATAAAAAATATGTGTTTGATTTGATATTTTTGGGGGGAAAAATGGGATAAATAGTGCATTTAAAATTCAATCTCCCAAACAAACACACTTTTTTAAGTTACATTGGTTTACATTGCACAATTCAGTATTGAATGTTCAATATTTTCACTGTTTATTTTTTAGTCTCAATTATTTTGAATTAAAATTAAGGTACATCAGTTGGAAATGGATATGTTAAGACTATATTACATGAAATTTTCATATTGGGCATCCTCACTTTATCCAATCTAAAGTTGTATTAATATTGTGACCACTAATCGGTCTAATTGCGATAAATACAATAATGGCTACTTTGATCCGACATTAATGTGATTGACATAGAAGATTGATAAAATACATTAAAGGATTGGATAGCAAAATTTTCATGTAGCTCATAAGGTTATATAGTATACATTTATCCAAATGAGAGATTGATGAATTAAAACTTAAATTGTGGGTTAAATCTAATCTATTTGGGCTACCAGTCAAATTAAACATATTAAGTGATCTATTAAATTTTTTGGATTTAAAATGTATTTAGTAAGTGCGGGTCTCCTATGTTAAAAAACCTGGTAAGTTATTAATTTGGTGATGAAGCAAATTAATAATAAGGGATAATATATTAGGATTGTGATTCCAAGTCTAGACATAACATCTATTACTTTTCACATCTCACATCATGGAAGTAACGACATAAATCTAGTGTTTTCTCAAGAGGGGTTGCATCATAGGCTTGAAGAATTCGTACACCCGAATCCAACTACGTTATTTGAATCAGGTCAAATTTATATACTTAATTTTCTTATCTCAATTACAAAATGATAGATCTTGAGTTTAGGGTTTAATTCCTAATAACTTCCAAACAATTGGTCTTGAAAATTCATTCAACATTATATCAACGTACAATAACGCAAAGTGTGTGCGAAGGAAAACAAAGAAACAAATACAATAGAGTGTCGCAGTAAAATACCTCTAACATCATTCAAGAAGATAAACTTCCATCCATGAAGATGCACGCTGACAGTAGTAAGTCCGTATCCTCAACGTGATCGTTTTCATCGCCCACTGGATTTCACCAACGCCTTTACCTACCACACACAAACAGTCCTGTTAAAGCTGAAGAAATTGAGAAAGTTCCATTAAATTCTGCTATACTTCTAAATGAGGAGCCAAACTAATGAGCTGCAGCCTTGTTAGCAAATCTTCATCTTTGTTAACAAACGACCACAATGCTTGAACCAATCCTAGTTCTTTCATTATCCTACAATTAAAAGTGAATATGTATATGTAAATGTAAATATACATAGGCAAGTTCCCCGGGTACATACCACCAATATGCAATAAATACTAACCATAAACATAAAAATGAGAAGAAATTTGATAATAGAATTGGCAACGAAAATTTAACAGAATACAGAGTTCATGGAATATAAGACAACAAGGGCAAGTAATCCTTAACGTAGGTAGACTTCATGGCAGGCTTAAGATTGTCTGCTTTATAGTCCTCCATCTGCACTTTGTGTCAGCATATGATATTGGCATCATTCTCCTATCACTTGTGAACTTTGTCCTTAATCAATGATTGAGTGATTTTGTCATTAGAATCATCCAGAATTTGAAAGAATAATATGCTCTTAAAGATTATCGGTATTTTGATATTTATATATAAATTGCTTTTACTGTAATAGAAAATCATCAATACATTGGAAAAGATGATAATGATAAAATAAATACATTAAATTGGACCAGATGAATATTATTATTATAAAATTAAAACTGTAGGCACCGAGGTCGGCGCCTCACTTCTATTTTTACTTTGTAAATAAGAATTGTATATTGGGAAGCACTAATATCCGTACCTTATATATATCTATATATATATATTAACTGAAAAGATAGGCACTGAAGGTGCTGCCTCACTTCAATAAAAAAGAAGGTTATATATTGTAAGGTGCGATTTTAGTGCCTTTAATAATTGTTTTTTAAATTAAAAAAATTAGACATTTGGATTGAAATTCTCTGAGGTAAAAAATATTTAAGTTCAATTTTGATTAAATTTGATAAAGAGTTACACTCCTTACTTTTCATTTATATTTACTTTTGACTCTCTATTACCCATTTTATCTTTGAAATTACAATACAATATAACGAATGTTATATGTACTTTCATTAATTTATACAAACCTACGTTATCTAACTATGTACTTTAAAATTATCCCGTTGTACAAAGAAAATTTCAGAAAATATGTTTGAAAATTTTATTTATGTACTGAAATCAGTTAAAAATATTTAAACAAAAAAGAAAAAAAAAGCAACGATTCCATATTGTGAATGGGCTTATTTCTTTTAAACCCATGATCTCCCATTTAGCCCCTTGCTCCCGAAGGACCCTCGCCAAAGTAATCACCACTGAACCTTCCCGCAGAAACCTTTGCCACCGTTGAGAGTCTCCCCTCGCCACCAAAACCTCCAATCCCGATCAACATGTCGAAAAAGACCTCCTCCCCAAAGCGGAGTTTAAAAAGTAAGTTAAAGTTTATATTTTTGGTATATCAATTCTTTTGAGTTTGTTGTATGCTCGGATATTTTTTTCTTTTGTGCCTAGGTTGGATTTGTACATGCCTCAGTGTCGGGCCATTTCACTTTAGTATTATATCACACTATCAGATCAAATAGAAGTTATTTTTATGTCTTTAAAATTTTAAATGATCTTTTTGTGTATAGAATTACTTTCATTTTAATTTTTGTAGATTTACATGTTTAGTAAAATGATTGAGATATGGGGTTGGCGGAGTCAGAGGCGGAACCAGACAAGGATGAAAGGGAGGGCTAATTTTTAAAATTTTGAAACGATCATCATCTATTTTTATCTAATAATTTTATCAATGGAGTCATCATATTTCGAAAATCTTACAAAATATCAATCTACATTGACAACTGCATGTTACAAGATGAATTTTGTATTATATGAAATTGATAAATAATAAAAACATTTATTTAAAAAAAAAGCTGTTAAAAATATCATTTCCTGTGCATTTGGTTGAGAAATTTTTGAAGATTTTTTTAATTATTATTTATTACTTTTTTGTTCATATTTATTTTTATATTATCAAATAATTATTATGATATAAATTTTTTTATTATTCAAAATTTAAATTTTCACATGAATATTCTATCAATTTTTTGCAATTTTTTAATTTATTTATTATTTTTTATATTATATATTATAAAATAAAAACAAAAAATTAAAATTTATAAGGGGGTGGGATGGGGGAGGGGGGGGAGCCCCCCCTCGCCCCTACATACATCCGCCCCTGGGGAGTTCCTTTTTTTAAAAAATTAAAAAAAAAAAAAAACCGTAGGCATAGTTTTCTATTGTGAAGTGACGTTTTAAGTACTGAACGTGTTTGACGATATCTCTATTATGGTGTTGGTTGTAAATGTATCTATTTTGTCGATTAGTAAAAATTTTGTTCGATTTTTATATTGTTAGTGAATGCCTCCAATTACCTTTGGTGCGCCTTGATTTTTAATTTATATGCCTCTTTAAAAATATTTATTACCTACGTAATTATGTCAAAAATTTAAATTGATGTTCTGTATACTCATGAAAATATCCCTTTAGTTTAAATGATAGCAAACCCGAGAAAAAATACAAAGAGCTTACCTCCAGGTTTATTATATCTTTCTTCTATGTAAAGTTGGGTAATGTAAAAAGGCTAGGATGAACGAATGCAGAAGTTTGTTTTTTTTTCCAATATCTTATATGCAACCATAAACAATCAAGTTCTAATTTTTTTTGTTCGTACACTGTACATAC